AAAAAAAAAAAACTAAACTTAATAATTATTTGAAAAAAAATTTACATATAATTTTTCAGTGCAATTTTGAAATTAATCCCGTTGCTGTTCATCACAAGAGTTAATTTTATTAAATAAAGACACGTTTGAATATTTTTAAAAATGTAAAATTTAATGTCAGTCCCGAGTGTAAACATTTTTTAAAGGAGTTTTATTTTATTTTTCTCCTTTTAACAACTGTGAGATTATTTATGCTATGGATGTACAAAAATGAAATAATTCTGATATCTCGCGCTGACTGACTATTCAGTATCAGAGGAGTATTTTTATCCAATTTTATAGCCTCCGTTCAGTCAGTATATATATATATAAGAAAAAAAATAAAATTTTTCCTCATACAAAGTTTAATAAAAGCGTATAGAATTAAAAATATATATTATTAAACAACTAGTCATACAAAGAAATTTTAGTTTTAAACATAAATAACAAATTCTTGATTATTGCACTGCTGGACTTCCGTACTTCTTTAGGTTTTATTTTTGCTTTTTCTCGCGTTTTTTGGACAATGATAGAATTAATGTTTTTCTATTTCGTCTTAGCGTGCGTAAATACAATTAATTTTTCTTTTAATCTGAATTAGTTTTAGACAATTATCTTTCAAATAGAACAAAAATTTAATTTAATAGAAGTTATTTAGAATATTTAAAATGTGTTTTTCCTTTTATTTAGAATGTCCGTGGCGATATCTAACGATATCTATTTTTCCAGCACTATGGCCTAGCTTTAATTTGAAACATCACTTTAATGCAAACATTGCCAGCTGCAGAAAAAGAAGAAGAAAGAACAGCTACTAGATTAAAAAGAAAAGAAGGAAGATGAAAAAATCCCAAAACCTACGAATAATATCCTTTCCTAAAAGAGAGATATTTATCTTATTCAAATGCCTTTTCTAAACTGCGACTGTTTATCTCATTCGAACGTTTTTTTTTATAAATCTGTGATTGTTTTTCTAATTTTAATGTATTTTCTAACCTTGTGAGAGTTTATCTCATATTTGAGAACACATTTTAAAAAAATGATGCTTGTCTGAAGTACCCATAGCGATAGCGAGGTAGGTCATTCTTTCTCACCCCTACGATCGATCTTTTCATTTTGTGAATTTTTGGAAATGTGTCTATTTCTTTTGTTAATAAAATGATTTATCTCAACTTTTGTTCTAAACAAAAGTTTACTGTTAAAAAACGTGTTTCATGAACTGCTGTTTTCTCAGAGAAAACAAATTTATATTTTGAAGAAATGTTAATCTGTCTTGATAGATTCAGGGACAGAAACTGAATTTTGTGCCAGGCATATATTGTATTTTGTACAATTTCTATATTGTAAAATAATTTTGCCACATTAATAAATCTTTGTTTCTTTGCAAGTTTCACTTTGAGTAAGAGTTTATCCCTTTTCGTTAGCCCCTCTATAAGTAAGTATAAAGAGAAAGATAAGAGTTTTGAAACCTCTGATTATATTCTTTTCGTTTTACATATAAATATTTTGGGGAAAATATATAACAAAGTGGAAAAAGTTTCCTTGTGACGCGTTTCGTCCTTTTATGACATCATCAGACTAAATTTGTTATGTTGGTGCGTATACTCACGAACGAGGGATGCTGGGAATTTTAGATTTTTTATTTTTAAATTTTTTTTTATCTAGCCGATTTTATTTAGATTCTTAACCTTTTTCTTTCCATCACTCAAGCTAGTAGATATCTCACACTGTGATAATAGAAATTTTGCCAAGAATGGTGAAATGTTATAAGAGCCCGGGTGCAAATTTACTGCAGAGTACCTTGCGATCAAAGTCCTCTCTAGACATTTATATTGTAGTGAATTCTTTTCTCCTTTGATCAGAGTAGCATTTTTTATGTCAAAAATGTGGTCACTTTTGTTTAATGTATTGTTTTGTAAAATGTCCCTTTTGTGTTCATATAATCTTTTATTTAGTTTCTCCTATGTATTTTTTTTTGTGATAGAGAGCAAAAGAAATGCAGAGGACTGTGCACTAACGTTTTAAAATTACTCCAAAGCGTTTGACAAGGTGCAACAAAAGATCTATTTGAACTGCTAGGAAAACTCGATCTATTTGGAAAGGATGTTAGAATAATCCAGAGATTATACTGGGATCAACCCGCCTGCATATGGATAGAAAATGAATTAAATAGCTACACGAAAATAGAAAGGGAAATGAGACAAGGATTTGTCTTCCCCCGAACTTTATTCAAACTCCACACGATTCTAAGGGAACTGGAGAACTAACCAGGATTTATTATCGGCTGGTATAAGTATAAAATACACAGATGACACGATGTTGATGGCTGATTCGGAAAGGAAATTACAGCCATTCCTAGACAGGGTGGTAGAAGAGGGTGAGATGAAAGGACTAACTATCAACTGCAAGAAAACAGAAAGTATGGTAATTAAGAAGAGAAAAAAAACCTATGCGAGTTACGAATTAGAGGTATAAAAATCAAGCAGGTGCACAAGTTTAAATATCTGGGAAATGTTTTAACAGACGATGGGAAATGCGACACCGAGATCCGGACACACATTGGGCTGGCGAAAAATGCATTTTAAAAGATATGCAAGGTGCTGAGAAAGGGAAGTTTTCGTTAGAAACAAAGGAAAGAGGGTTGGATTGATAAGTGATATCCATTCTTTTAAATGGTGTGAATGGTGCCAAAACCTCCCCATAGATGAGAAGACTGGAGGCAAGTCCTTTTACAGGCGGATTTTGAGAATTCCATGGCCGGATCGAGTAAAAAAAAAAAAAACCCAAAAAACAAGGAAGTCTTTAGAAATAAGAACCCGAATCAGGAGAAGATATCTGAATTTACTTGGAAATATAATGAAGAAAGAAATCTTGGAAACCTTAACCGTCACGGAGGGATGTTGAGGGCAAGCGAGTTTGGAGAAGGCAGCGAATCACTTACTTGACGAGCTTGTGTGGATGGATAACGGAACCAGGGTATAGGAGCCTCAGCAAAGGGAGTAAAACTAAGGGCCACGACGTATAGGAAGTTGTAGAGAGAAATGATTGCCTGAAGAAATGCAGCAAATAGGAGAATATCAATCAACTGTCATAATTCCGAAGAGAAATAAATCGACTTTATTCTGATATTAGTTTCCTTGTCTTAACCTATTGTTAAACGTGTTTTATAGAATTCAGGCCTTACTTATCAATCAACCCTCGTAATTCTACACAGAAATAAATTGACGTTATTTTATGGGTAGCGGCTCGGTTTGAGGAATCGGGGAACCGAGTTCGAATTCCAGTCGAATCCACTGCATTCACTTACGTGCTAATACCCTTGGGAAACGTATTACTCCGCTTCTTCCTCCCCAGCTATGGATAAATAGCCGAATGGTAACTGTTGTACCGCATAAAGAAATGGCAACCTAATGCGGGAAAAATATCTGCCTCGTCAGTCAGGTATCGAAAAATACATGATCACCTAAGCGTGTGTTACGCATGGCACATAGCTGATTGACTTTTTGACGCCATAAATTCCCATGTTGTCATCTACGCGGACGACACTACAAGTTACTTCTGCCTCAAAAACAAATCTAGTGTCGGTGACAAAACTAACCTGGCCGTGCGTCTTAAAATGGAACTCCAATCGGTTGTTAATTGGGGCAAGAATTGGCTGGTCAACTTTAACGCCTCAAAAACTAAACTACTTTCTATTAATCACCATAGAGATCCTTCCCTGCCCCCCCCCCCATCAGAATGTTTGATAGTCAACTTCTTGAAAGCAACTCCCTGCGTCTGCTCGGTCTCACGTTGACTGCTGACCTGAGATGGAACAAACAGATTGAGTCAATTGCTTCGTCCACTGCGAGGAAAGTTGGCTCTCTGTGCCGCGCCAGGAAATTTTTCTCCCCGGAATCGATACTTCAAATATACAAATCAACCATTCGCCCTTGCAGGGAGTATTGCTGCCATATATGGTCTGGGGCACCTTCTGTTTACCTCGGAGTTCTTGACAAGATCCAGAGACGGATATGTAATATAATTGGGCCTGATCTGGCATCTCGTCTACAGTCACTCTCTCACAGACGCGCCGTCGCCTCTCTCTGTCTTTTTTTTTATGTTACTTTCATGGTAATTGCTCCGATGAACTGCTTTCACTGGTTCCCAGACTTCATGAATTCAAGCGCCCCACGAGGCTGGCATCCCGCTCCCAGCCTTACACTGTAGAAACTTTTAAATGTAGCCGTCTCTTCTACTCCAATAGCTTCATACCTCGCACCTCTCGCCTGTGGAACACCCTTCCCGATTACTGTTTCCCTGAAAGCTATAATCTCCAACTATTCAAATGTAATGTCAATCGACACCTCCAGTTACCTTGATCTATACACTATCCCTCTCTTCATCCTTTCATCTATCACTCCTATCTGCTCTCGCTCCAAATCTTATGCAACCCCCTGCATTCTAGTGGCTTCACGCCTTGCTCGGGGCGTAATGCTTAAAAAAAAATTAATTACCTTGTTCTATCTATTCTAAAACTTGTTTGATAGGATCGGAATCATTACATAGCAATCGAACCTCATAATTTTAAAGAGAGATAAACTGACTTTATTTTGACAGTAATTATCTGGCTGTACCTATTCTTAAACGTGTTTTGTAGGATTGGAAGCTTTACTTATCAACAAATTCTCGTAATATTAAAGACAAATATATTTACTTAATTTTGATATCAGTTTAATTATTGCGTCTGGTCTAAATTTCTTCTTTTTTATTAGAAGCATTACTTATTTATCAAATCTAGTAATTTCGAAAAAAAAAAAACGAAAATCTCCTCCATTTTGATACCAGTATCATTATCCTATCTGGTATAAAACTTGTTTTCTAGGACTGGAAACTTTACTTACCATCCATCCCACGATTTCATATAAATATGTCCGTTAAATATCGACAAGGATCTGAAATAGTATTTTGTATTTTTTTTCCCCGATATCTTTTTTGCAATAGAAATGTCTCTCTTATGCCACAAAATCCCAGCCTTATTCTCAGATGTCAGATTCTCTACGACTTACGACACGATATTCCCGAGAGAGAAAATCACTGACAAACGTTTCTTGGCGGTCGGGGCGCCATCTGTCTATTGAGGGCCAAACTAAATTTTGGCGTGAATGAGTTGTCAGTAGTGATGGACGTTCAAAAAGCAAATCGTCTCAGGTGATACCAGAGATCACGATATTAGGAGGTCTTCAAAAACATTGATAAAAGAGGAGCCTCGGAGACGATGTGGCTGTTGGTTGGGGGTGTGGCGTGGATCCTGAAATACGAAGTCAAGAAACGACGGCTACTTTCTTCATTTAGCGCTAAACGTTGACCAACAACAGCTTGATTCAAAAAAAAGTTATCTGTCTAACGACGCACGCTCACACAGATGTATAAATTTATATGTAATCTATAACTGTAAGTCGACCCAGAAAATCGAGTTTATTATATATTTTGGTTATATCGTGGGTGTTAGTTTCAATCCTTATCAGAATGACTGCAAAATAATATTTCTCTCCTTCTTATAAGCATATAACAAATGGCTGCTGGGATATTTCCTAGACAATAAGACAAGCTGGACCGAGGTTTCATCTGACTCAATCTCGATCTGTCTTGTCTTGAGGGCATAACATTACGTTCGCTTATCCGAACTTGCTTTTCTGTGTCAACCCGAATTATTAGTTTGTGAACTATTTGCTATATTACTGTTGCTTTGTATTACTTTTATTCTTTTATCTTGCATATATTGTTTGATTTATATTATTTTTGTCCTGTTTATATCTTTTATTGTTTACTGCAAACTTTTAAAAAATTCTTTTGAATTCTGTTACTTATCTTGCATTTCCGCAGTGGGAAAATGAAATAAAATCACTAAATAAAATAATAATAATGAATCTAAAGTAAATTAAATACACTTTCCCCATGATGATAATATTAATGGAACCGGAAATTTTATTACCCCACTTGTCTTTGTCAAATGTACGTTAAGTAATTCTGTTTAAGTTCTGTCAAAAAAAAAAAAAAAAAATCCTTCCGCTTCCTGTTTCTCTCCCTTTGCTCCAAAATGTAGTAGGATGTCGACGAAGACGTCCCGGCTGAGACACGTTCGTTTCGCCAGTCCACTGACGACTGAACACTCTAACCACTATCCAGTGTATATCGTTCTTACGTGTCATTTAAAACGTCTACCTATGAAGTAAAGCAACCTTTGTTTGGTCGTACCAATTCTGCGCAAGGCTGACATGAGCTCGACCTCCCTGACCATGCTTAAACCTCCACCAATGAAGTAAGCACAAACTTTACTTTGGTCGTTCCAGCTCAGCGCAAGGCTGACATGAGCTCGTCCATTATAAACTTGCTTATCCTTATTTAATCTGGACCAGAAAAAAGAAAACGGGCATACTCATGAGACATTGATATATTTCCCACACTTTCTTTAAAAAAAAAAGAATAAACATTCCGTAGCATAAACCCAAGTTTTTGTATGTTTCTTCCTTAATTTTTTACCCGTGAATACGCACACACATATTTCAACATTTTTAAACCCCATTACAAAAGGGCGCCGTTGATGTTAGTTTTCATGCGTTGATGGTTTTTCAATTTTTTTGTCCTCAATAAGCACAGCCATTTTTCTGCATTGGAAAAAACAAAAACAAAAAAAAACGACTTCTTGCTATGAGCCTAATATGGCCGAATAAGTATGTCACTTCTTTGTCATTCATCATTTTTAAACTAGAAATTAGCCTCTTGATATTAAGAAGAGACGAGACGTGTCGCTGTGTTTTGAAGAAATATGTCAATATGTTGTTATGTTGATGAGGTCCTCCTACCAAAGGTAGTAAAGGAAAAGGAGAAGAAAGGACTAAATGTCAACTGTAAGAAGACTGAATGCCCGGTTGTTAGTAAAAAGCCCAAAGTGCGAATTGCAAATCGCAAATTACAAATGCCAGAATGAAACAAGGGCGGAAATTTAACTATCTGAGAAGTGATTTAACAGAAGATGAAATGTGTGACATTTAAAGCCGAAGACGTATTGGGCTCGCCAAAGATGAATGCCAAAATATAAGGAGAGTACCAAGAAATTGACAATTTTCGCTAGTACCAAAGAAAAGAGAACTAAACTGTTAAGTGATATCTGTCCTCCTGAGTCTGTCTATATTTCTGAGAGGAGGTAATATGTACATTATTTACATTACTCGGACTATTGTCCTCATCTTTGTCGCCATATTTATCACAACGTTTCGGCCGTTGTACGCTTCGGTCTTCTTCAGGTGGTTGGAATGTCGAACTGAACCCTTTATTTCGCTCACTGGGGTAGACTGTTCTAGTTCCACGTGCCATGTTTAATGGATGTCAGTTATCAGTTATCTCCTGTTAATTTTCCCTCTGAAAGTTCTCCACTGCTTTAACCAGGTATTGAACTCACTCTCTTTGGGTCCTCGAGGACACATGGCAAAGTGGATAAAGGCGTTGGTTTGATCCAGTGACAGGACCCAAACATATATATATATATATATATATATATATATAGAGAGAGAGAGAGAGAGAGAGGTAGATAGATAATATTAGTACTTAATATACACATACATATGCAATCATATATCTAAACTATATAAATACACACACACACACACACACACACACACACACATATATATATATATATATATATATATATATATATATATATATGTAAAAAAAAATAATTCCAAGAGGATAGAATCCAGGTAGAACTCAAAACAGAGTAAGGATATAATAAAAAAGGCTTAAACACTAATATTCCATGGTCATAATTTATTCCATTGGAATCGTAAATATGATCCAATTCATCAGACCTACAAATTCAAAAAGAAAACAGAAAAAAACAACTCCGGGTATAAAAAATAAAATTTAGTGAGAGTGTATGTATGAGAGTGTGAGACGAATGTTAGAGTAAATGAAAGCTATAGGGAGGGGTAACAGACGAGAGAAGAATAGGAAGGTCTAAAGATGAAGCGGGGGTGGGGTAAAAATTTATCAGAGAGAAGTTTTAAAGAGGGGAGTCAAAGACGGTTTAAGTGAGAGAAATATGAATATTCTCGGATGCGTAATACATTAAAGGGCTTCCCTATATATATATATATATATATATATATATATATATATATATATATATATATATATATATATAAACCCCTATACCAATTTCTGCTCCTGATTTGTTTTGCGTTTGTACCCGTTTTCCTTAATTTGTCTCCAGATGTCCGCAATGAACACTCTACACATATGAAGAAATTCAACGAAAGCGTATTTGTTCAGAAAGATTCCGGCAAAAATGGCCATATCCCACCACCAAAAATCCGATGTCTCTGATAAAACAGATAAGATTATTCGGATCTGGGAAGATAAATTACACTTCTATTATATACAGAGAGAATTTAATACAGCCTTATCAGATGGTGTTTTAATGTAATTGTCTCAGTCTGATTTATCTTAAGGGATTTTCAACAATCTACAATTTGAGATAAAGTAGATTAACATATTAAGATTATGAGCCTATTTCTTTCTTTTGAAGAAAATACTTGGAGGCTACAATGGATTTAGCATATAAAAGACAATTTCGAGTCTATTAATTTCGTCTTTGATTGATCTGAATCTACTGAGTTTGCAGAAGGAATCGGTTTAATTACACAGCAACCACCCCGGGAAATGCAATGTAAATATAACATTCGAAGCTTGATAAAAAAAATAACGTTATCTTTATTAAAATATTTTTAATATTATATTTAATATTATTTTATTATTATTTGAAATCAAAATGAACGTATACTTGACGATCAGTATTCTGGACTAATCTCTATTAATACATTTTAATATTATATTTAATATTATTTTATTATTATTTGAAATCAAAATGAACGTATACTTGACGATCAGTATTCTGGACTAATCTCTATTAATACATTTTTAATATTATATTTAATATTATTTTATTATTATTTGAAATCAAAATGAACGTATACTTGACGATCAGTATTCTGGACTAATCTCTATTAATACATTTTTAATATTATATTTAATATTATTTTATTATTATTTGAAATCAAAATGAACGTATACTTGACGATCAGTATTCTGGACTAATCTCTATTAATACATTTTAATATTATATTTAATATTATTTTATTATTATTTGAAATCAAAATGAACGTATACTTGACGATCAGTATTCTGGACTAATCTCTATTAATACATTTTTAATATTATATTTAATATTATTTTATTATTATTTGAAATCAAAATGAACGTTTAGTTTACGGTCAGTATTCTAGGCTAATGACTTCAATGGCTAGATTTTTTGCAATTACGAGGACTATAAGCACGCCGCTTTCAATTGGATAGAATTGTAATCTGTATCTATCATTTTTATGCAAGTAACCAAAGGGAATCGATCGGCAATTTGCCATTTTATCTTCAGACAATTTTGTACGAGTTTTAGTCCATTGATATTTTCAAACGAGAAAATAGCTGTTTGAGATTCAAGAAATTATTACTTTATTTTCCTACCATGTGTTTCAGCTGTCATCAAATTATATCGCCATTCTTTTTGCAAATTTGATATATTTCTATCAGATATTCAAAGTATACGTGTTTGTAACTACCGTATATTTAAAACCATTTTTTGTTTGATTCTTTGAAACAGTTTGTCTATATTATCAGCTGTCATCTTTTAAAATGAATAAATCTTTTTTTTTATTGGAATAGCGAAATATGTATTCCAAAAAATATATATCCAGATCATTCGTAAACATGTACGCCAATGATACGACTGTATGCGGTTGCAACTCTAGAATTCTTACTATCAAAGATTGGCAGTTGACTTCTCGTTCGATCTAACGATAACTTCCCACTGGGGGGAAAAATGTCTGGTTAAATTGAATGCCTTGAAAACCAAATTAGTTGCATTCCATCACCGCTGATCAGACCTCGAACTAGCGACAGTCACGACGAACGGACGACCTCTAGAGGAGGCACCGTATATTGAAAGAATATTGGGCTTCAGTCTCACATCTGACCTCAAGTGGAACACTTGCATAAAATCCATAGCAAAAGATGTTGGTAAAATGATCGGCTTCGTGTACCGCTCTAATAAGTACTTGAGAATGCGTGTTATCCTCTAACAGGAGCCACATCAGTCCGAAAAAGGTTTAGCCGTCACTCCTAGTACCCGCCATGCCACTTACACAGTAGCAAAGCAACCACATTCTCCCCGTATTCCATTCAAACATCTTCTTCCCGCGAACCACCGCTCTGTGGAGTAGACTCCTAAGAGGATGTTTATCCGATCACTAGAGTCTTAACCTGTTTAAATCTAGGGTTAACCGTTATCTTCACCTGCTATCCGTATAAACTACCCTTTCAAGTAACCCACGAGCCTCGAGTAGCCACCGGTCCTTATATATATATATATATATATATATATATATATATATATATATATATATATATATATATATATAATCGATTCTCCCGTCGGGTTCGACGTATGAGGAGGGTCAAGCAGATCAATTTCCAGGAAACTGACAGCCTGACACCGGCACATGAGATTCGATTATAGTGGTGAAGGTTTCGTGCAGGACCATCCACACTTTTTGAAGGGCCGAATACAGAGACCTGGTGCACTACGTGACACAAGGTTCCCAAACAACCCCCCTCAGGTTTTGAATTCAGAGTTGTCCTTCTCCTAGACCAGTTGCCATCCAAGGCTATAGACCCCAGTCTGTCCTGCTATTTAACCCATAGCTGGAGGCACGGTGGGGTAATGGATATCGGTTTGGATTGTGGAATCGCAGAGCCGAGTTCGAATCCAGGTTGAATCCATTACATTCACTTACGTGATAATACCCTTGGGGAAAGGTGTGAATCCTATATATATATATATATATATATATATATATATATATATATATATATATATATATAACGGAATCGGTAAATATGAGTAGGTTTACGATCGTAAGCAAATACTTATAAATACTCGATAGTGTAAGAAAAAACTGCTCAATGATAACTAATAGAGCTATTTAATATATAAAAAAGATGTAATTAAGTTCTTCAAGGACTAGGATCTGAGGATTACCGCTACCACTAATGCTAAAATAATCTATTGCCTGGATGTTATATTTGTCTCATCTAATGAGCTCCACAAACAATATACTAAAGATTCATACAACCATAGATACATCAAGAAACAATTCAACCACTATACTAGAATACTGAATAATTTGCATAAGTCTGTCTAATTTAGACTGTCTACCAACTCTAGCAATAAGGACATTTTTGACAAACATAAAGGCAAATCCGTAGAAGCACTAGAACATAGTAAACATAAAATTAACCGTCAAATTTAATAACGGAATTTTTTAAAAATTTAATCCTTAAGTACTTCAGAAATTTCTCTACACTTAATAAGATCTTCAAAAAAATACAACGTCAAAGTCAGCTACAGCACTCATCTCCCTTTACCGGCCCCTTTACTTGGGGGCTTCTTTCTGACCCTACACCGGTTGAAGGTTCCCGGTGCTCAGCCTCTATCTAGTTTAGCTGCCCCCAGCTTGGCCGCATGGCATAGTTTTCATCCTTTAAATATCATGTCATTCTTGGACATCTCCGGTAAGAACTATCGCCTTTCTTCCTTCCTATTATGGAATTATTTAATACAAGCATTATTTTTTAGTATCATTTCCTTCCTTAAACGAACTTTGTTTACCTTCTCACCACGTGCGGAACCTCCATCTTTCCTCTCGGAACTTGACTGTTACTCAGCATATTTTGTATTCTTTTTCTTTCTATGAGTATTTTTTATGTTCAAATGCTTCTATTCTGTAAGCTTATCGTACCTACAACTACTTAAGGTCTTAGTAATTACTCACCTTCATTTTGTATTTCTGAAGAAACTTGTTTTTATTTTCTTTCAGTTTTACCTTTGTCGACTGTCAATAAACCTGTGTCTAAAACATACCATGTCTCAGAGTCTTGATTGTCGATGAGAGTTTATGCTAACTGTCTAAGGGTTGTGTACATTTCAACGAAATACACGCATCCCGGAGACAGTATAGTTGTGCTAAAAAAATCGACCAGGATATAGCTGCACAACTGTTCCATTTTGAACAAACACTTCAACAACCTTCAAAACAACAACAACATCTCCGCAACAAAGAATTGCAGTTGTAGAAAAAACAAATCCTGTCCTTTAAACGGTAAAGGTACGACTCGCGATAACTATAAATTTTTCAACAAAGGTTTCAACCCAAAATTAAAATAAATATACCGGCACTTGATAATTGCATTGGCATGGAACTTGGCATGTGTTGTGCAATCAATGTAAGGTATTTTGTATATTCCTTTATATATATATATATATATATATATATATATAATTTGTGTATTTAGGCAGCAATCCTTCTTTCATGCACATTTCACTGGATACGACAGACAAGGTTCTTATATTTAGTTTTTTTCAGATGATAAATTACAGTGTAACCCGGATATAAGAGACCCAGATATAAGAGAAACCCGAATATAAGAGAGATTTTCTCTGGTCCCAAATTAGAGCCTATGTTAATGTATATGAAATAGACCAAACCCGGATATAAGAGACTTCTTCTCCGGTCCCGACAACTCTCTTATATCCGGGTTACACTGTATATATATATATATATATATATATATATATATATATAAAAAGAAAAGAACAGTAAGATATATAATCCGGTGTTGTTAATGCTGACTTTAAAACCTAGTAATTTTATAAGTTACCCCAAAATTCGCTTGAGGATGAAATGGAACTAATGTCTTTAATTTAATTACAAAATTAAATTTGGACCTTCCATTTGTGAAACATGGTTAGAACTGTGTAGCGGAAAAAACATATTTTAAATCAATTAATTTATAATATATATATATATATATATATATATATATATATATATATATATATCGTGTTTAATATTATATTTACGTTTACAGTAGCCTTTCAGTAAGAATTGCATAAAATGGTTCACCTTCAAACTCTTTTGATTACAAAGTCTAAACATCATTTTTAACATAATGAAAAGGAACGAAAACAAAAATAAAAAGTTTTTTTATATTTGATTGTTTTTTTTTTTTCCTGCGGCTTTATAACTGATGTCGCAAATGTGTTTTCTTTCCAAGTTTTTCCTTTTCGGCTGCGCAGAACCTGAATCAATTAATAACGTTTTATTAGTGAAACTAACGTCAGTTATTAAGAGTAATGCCACTTATTAAGTCGCCGTCAGTCTTCTTCTGTATTTTCTAGTAGCAATTACTCATAGTTCGTGCTGTGTCTGCAAAGATTTGAGGTAAGAGGAATGGTTAATCGCCAAGAACCGATCTTTCCAAATATGAGTGGTGTTGTTTCTTGAACAGAACCAGTGTGGCGCTAATGGGACCCCACCAGGCAAGCTCATAAAGAACAGGCAATAATCACATTGGGGTAAGTTCTTGCGCCTTTCGGGATTACAGGAACGGGATTCTTCATGAATTGAATAATTATCATTTTAATTACAATATAAAAAAAAATATTTGCATGTTAAAAAGAAGACGAAACGACAGAAGCACGACAACAAAGAAAATGAGACCGAAAAAGATTAAGAATATTTGATTTAACTACGAAAAAGGAGGCACGGTGGTGTAATGGATAATGGCTCAGATCGAGGAACCGGTAGAGCTGAGTTCGAATTCCTGCCGAATCCATTATATTCATTTACGTGTTTATAACCTTGGGACAGGTATGAATCCTCTTCTTCTCCCTTACCACCCAGCTATGGGTAAATAGCAGGGCAGAACGGGTTCTATAGCCTTGGATGACAACTAGTCTACCGCAGAAAGAAATGGCAACCTACTATGGGGGAAAATCGTCAGTCATGTATCGAAAGATACATGATTGCCTAAGCGTGTATCACGCATGGCACATAACGGACTGACGTGCTAATACACTTGGAAAAGGTATGAAATCCTCTTCTTCTCCCTCCGGCTGTGGGGAAATAGAAAGAAAGACCGGGTTCTATTGTCTTAGATGGCAACTGGTCTACCGCAGTAAGAAGCTGTTTGACTGGAACTGGTCGATGGAATACAAATGGTATGTTGATGGTTTGTTACTATATAAGTGGTATGGCGTGTCCAAGCCGTGAAGCTACAGACCTCGTGGAACCAAAAGATGCAGTTCGTCAGAACACTTTCCATGGTAGTAGGGACAGCGTAACGAGAGATTCGCAGCGTCCCATCTGCGAGAGAGTTATTTTGGAGTTTGGAAAATAATTCTTTCCCAACCAGGACTCTATCAAATCTGGAAAGTGAGGTCTGGACTTCTCCTGTACAAATATGGCAACAGTAAGCGAAGAAAATGGAAAGCCTGATCTGGTGGAATAAAGAATGTAGCGCGTCAGAATATTTGCCGGGGTAATAGAGATAGATGCAACGTTTGGTCTGTGGAAAAGATATCGCAGTGTAGGAAATAGTCCATCCCACACAAGGCTGCGGAAACCATGAAGAATAGAGAATGATGTCTTCCAGAAACTAAAGAAAACTGTGCTGAACTGCAATGTATCATCTCATCTCTTGTATGGAATTGAATATTAAAGAATCTCCTCACAGAGGAAGAAGAGACTTGAAACAACAGAGTTATAGATCCTCTGAAGAATGCTGGGAATATCATGGACACGATGCGTGAGAACGGAGTAAGACTTAAGAAGGATAAAAACTAAAAGAAAACATTTGCATCAAGAAAAGAAACAACAGGAATTTTCGTGATGGATACGTAGGAAAGAAAATTTGTAGTCTGTTCTTCATCTATCTGTATATCTATCTAGCTAGCTAGCTATCACAGTATGTTTCTATCTCTTTACATCTATCTATCGATCAGTGACTGTTCATTATCTATCTATCTCTCTATCTATCTTTCATAATCTGTTTCTATCTCTATCTGTTTCCGTTTCTTTCGATCAATTACTGTTCATCTATCTTCGTCTTTCGACTTTTTCAAGGCAAAAATGAAATCGAAATGTTTTTGTTGTTATAGTTACATTAAAAATCCAAATTTGCCTTGAAAAAGTCGGAAGACGAAACGCGTCGGCAAAATGTAAGATTTTTTTCCAATTGTCATTTGATACCAATCTGTCTTGTCCACAGAATTAATCTATCTATCTATTTATCTATCTATCTATCTATCTATCGATCAGTGACTGTTCATTAACTATACATTTATCATTCACAGTCTGTTTCTATTTATGTCTGTTTCTGTTTGTTTCGATCAATAACTGTTCATCTATCTATCTATCTATCTATCTATCTATCTATCTATCTAAGACTGTTCGTATCTATCTATCTATCTATCTATCTATCTATCTATCTATCTATCTATCTATCTCAGACTGTTTGTATCTATCTATCTATCTATCTATCTATCTATCTATCTATCTAAGACTGTTCGTATCTATCTATCTATCTATCTATCTATCTATCTATGTCCATATCTTTTTAAGTCTGTTTTCATCCTGTCTGTCAGTTTATCTATCTATCTATCTATCTATCTATCTATCTATTTTTCTTTAACTTCATTTTGCCTTCTCGCGCACTACCTGTTATATCTTACCCTTTCTCTTTACACAACAACACAAATCTAACAAACCTTAGCTTCGATTAAGAACGCCTATCTTTGGATGTAAAGAATTTGAACATTCAATCATATCGAATGTTAAAAACAGCTCACCAATTCTTATGCGCGTGATGATATAACGAGTTCATTTTCTTTATCTTTAATGACAAGTTTGACACAAGGTCAAAATTAGTGTCGGGGCCTCTCATGTGTACATCCGTGCAGAACCAAAATTTAATGAGTTCCCTTTATATGCCTCTACCCTTCAGGATATAAGTGATCATGGATCTCCATGGCTTCCTGTTCCTTGTGACACTTAGCAGTTTCGGTAAAAATCCCGTACTTTTGTTCCGTCATCCATTGCCATAAGTTAGTCGAGTTGGTAGCTCGATGCCCTTCCTTAGCTCTTTTGCCTAAATGCGCCCAGGAAGAGTTAAATTTGCCAAGCATCCTTTCCTTATTATAATCCCAGGAAATTTCAGATATCTCTTCCTGATTCTTAATATAAGTGTTCCTGTTTTTGCCATTTTCTTTAAGACTACCTCGTTGTTTACTCGCCCCGTCCACAGAATCCTCGATATCCTTTAGAACCACATTTCTGCTACCCTTTTTTTCTTCGTCCGCTTCACACTCTTCCTCGGTATTTTTTTAATAGGAGTAGAAGTTTATCCCTTGTTCACTGTTCAGGATTAGATTTACGGTTCCTTCTAAAGACAGCTTCAAACGCTCCCGCCTAAACTCTGAAATTTAATTACTAATTAATTTTCTTTTTCCCAATCGGAGTAGATAGGTTCGCCTATCGTCGGATTCACGCTCCTTTCCGGTCTTTTGAGCCGGAAGAGAGGTCTATCACTTTGTTGTAGAGTAGTTTTCACAGTGTGGGCCTGTATTTCAATAAGTCGTCCTAAATTAGGTTCGACGTACAACACGTTAGGAACTTGGAAATAAGAGTTAATGACGCAGCAATCTAGTTGTGATGGTTGGTACTTCAATGTCCGATATCGTCTGACTCGCTCAACATCACTGAGCCGAACTGGCGACCGCTACTACTACTACTACTACTTATTATGTATGGGAGAGTCTATTAATAATAGAATAGGTACGTCAGGTATGACACACTTTTTCCCTGTTTAGGATTCGGTTTCCGGTCCCTTCTAAAATTTTATTCATTCTCTTTCATTCAGAGTAGCCACCATGCATTTTAGTGGCGTTATGCCTTAATTGGTGTAAATTGAGAAAGAAAAAAAATAACTGCAAAAACAAAAAAACAAAACAAAAACAAAATTTTCAGTTTATTAACACTTTGCTTATCTTTTGGAAGGCATCTTTCGCTATCCCAAAGCGTCTTCGGATTTCGGTGTCACAATTTCGCATCCTCTGTTAAAACACTTCGTAGATATTTAAACTTGTGTACTTGTTTAATGTTGAATCTTTAATTTGTATTTGGGCGGGAGCTTGCCCGGTTCTCACATTCCAGTCTCTCCTCGAGGACACATGGCACAGTGGATAAAGGCGTTGGTTAGATCCAGTAAGAATGTGAGTTCAATACCCGGTTAAGGCAATGGAGAACATGGATAGGGGAATTAACTTGAGATAACTGATAACTGACATCCACTAGAACAGTGAGCGAAATAAAGGGTTCAGTATGGCATTTCAACCAGCTGAAGAAGGCCGGAGCGTACAACGGCCGAAACGTTGTGGTAAATATGGCGACAAAGATGAGGACACTAGTCCGAATAATGTAAATAGTATATATATATATATATATATATATATATATATATATATATATATATATATTAAATTAATTGATTTAAAATATGTTTTTTTTTTACACAGTTCTAACCATGTTTCAAAAATGGAAGCTAAAAGCCCCGAATTTAATTTTCTAATTAAATTAAAGACATTTATATCTTACTGTTCTTTTTTTATATATATATATATATATATATATATATATATATATATATATATATATATATATATATATATAGAGAGAGAGAGAGAGAGAGAGAGAGGTTGAGAATCCTTTATCCACATTTCTTGAGACAGGGTGTACTTCAGATTTTCTTCTGGTTTGGAAAAACAGGCTATTTAATTTGTATATATAGCAACTATAAAATAGGACAGCTTGGGAATGGAACCCAAGTAGAAACACGGTATCCCTTTATATTTCGTAACAAAGCATCATTGGAAAATTCGTAAGCTTAAGGAATCAGCACATATGCTAGGCCACAAAAATCTCCTGAGCCGACCAAGCATAGAAATGAATACAATATGGAAACCAGAAATAAGGAGTGCCAGAGAAAAGTTATAATAACAAGAAAAATTGCAATATGAGCTCGGGTAAAAGATCATGCAATTATAACAGCAAAAATTGCAATATGAGCACTGGTAAAATGGTTGCTGAAGATATTAAGTTTATAAGTCACAGAAATTCATACCCAGATGTCCTCAAGGATTTTTTGGCACAGTGGATAAAAGCGTTAGTTAGATCCAGGGACAGGACCCAAAGAGTGTGAGTTCAATACCCGGTTAAGGCAGGTTGGAGAGGAGAAATAACAGGAGATAACTGATAATTGACATCTATTAAAACATGGCACGTGGAACTAGAACAGTCTACCCCAGTGAGCGAAATAAAGGTTTCCGTTCGACATTCCAACCACCTGAAGAGGGCCGGAGTGTACAACGGCCGAAACGTTGTGATAAATATGGCGACAAAGATGAGGACAATAGTCCGAATAATGTAAATAGTGAACTCCCCGCTCATCTAAATTTTCGGAGGTCCACCTGTAAATCATGCTTTCATCTTGGTGTAAATATCCTAATATCTATTTGTGTGCGAAAATTGTTTTTCAATTAGTGTTTTTTTTTTTAGTAATTGGTGAGATATAGTTTCATTGAATAAGAGAGATTGAACTCATGTAGTGGCTGTATCTTAATTGCGAGACAATTAAAACTGTTCTTTTAAAATATTGTGAATAAATCATGATGTGGGAATTGATATGATGGTCCCCAAAATTGCTTTCTCATATTTGAATTATTTTTTCTGCCGAAACTAATGTGTAACGACAGTGCCAGTAATTCACTTCATAGACTTTTTTTTTTATCGTCATGGAAGGGTAAAATTCCGGTTGTTTCCCGGCGAAGTCCTACAAGAGAATGGTTCTAACTTCTTTCATTTTAGCGCAATGGGAGCGGTGTTGTATTTTGTAGGCGCGCAACACTCATCGGAGTTTAGTCATTTTGTTGATCTTGCCCTATAAAGGGCCAAGAAAATTAACTACTATTTACTCAGATCCCAGTTATAATAGAACTAAACCAATGAGCTTAAAGATTAACCCGTTAATGACTTAGAGCCACTGATTAACAAGATGCTGAGAAATAGGCAACACTGAGATAGTAGGCCCGGTTTCTGAAAAATATCTCCGCAGGTAGTTTGCTATCTAGCTAGCTAGCTATCAGGTCATCCCATAAGTTCTGTCCGAATTTTGAATAAAGAAAACAAGTGACCAAATGTTACATTTAATTACAGATTCAATCAACAATGTATTTTCCCTGATTATCTATGACTTCCTTTCATCTATTAACAAGCTTACTAATTCCATTACTGTAAAATTCTTTTGGCTTTGATCCGAAGAACTCACAAATGTCAGTTTTAACCTCTTCCTGTGTTACAAAAGCTGTTTCTTCCAAATGATTCTGTAAGCTACGAAACAAATGGTAGTCTGAAGGAGCAAGATCGGGAGAATAAGGTGGATGAGGAATTTTCTTACAACCAAGTTCTTCGATCTTTTGTGACGTGATGCTTGCTGTGTGGGGTCACACATTGTCCCGATGAAACATAACCTCTTTTCGATTCACTAGAGCAGGTCTTTTTTTCCTCAAATCTTGGTTCAAATGCTCTAATTGCTGACAGTATATTTGAGCATTAATTGTTGCATGAGGTGGTAAGAATTCAAAGTGGATTATTCCTTGGCGATCCCACCAGATTGAAAGAAGAAACTTTTGCCCATGAAGTTTCCTTCTCGGCTGTGGCTGGGGTCCTTTCCCTTTACCAAGCCACTGTCTACGACGCTTAACATTTCGATAAAAGATCCATTTTTCGTCGCCAGTCACAAGTCTATGCAAAAAAGGTGAAACAAGTTGGCGAGAATGGAGAGAACGGTAGATATCAACTCGGGATTTGAGGTTGTTTTCAGACAATTCATGAGGCACCCATTTTCCAAGTTTAGGAACTTTTCCAAGATGTTGAAGATGACGATGAACAGTTTTATGGTTTGAACTGAGAACCACTGCCAATTCCTCAACTGATAAAGCAGGATTTTCTTCAAGGGCTGCTTCAAGAAGATTTTCATCAAACTCAACTGGGCGTCCGATCTTCATCTTCAAGGGTGAAATCTCCACCTCTGAATTTTGCAAACCATCTTCTGAAAGTTCTTTCATTCACCCATTTCACTCCATAAACTGAGTGAATGTTTCTAGCCGCTTCGGCTGCTGAGTTTCCTTTCTTGAACTCATAAAGCATTATGTGCCTCAAATGATTCTTGGGTACTTCCATGTTAGCAGGGTTTTAATCAAACAAAATTTAATTTTATTTTTCTCTGAAATGAAATCTGATCAGTTTAAATGCGTCTAAACATAAAAATAATGTTCAACTCCATTAGACATTATAAAATAGTCTTTAAATTTCGTTCATTTTAAAAAAAAGGTAAAATTCGGACAGGACATATGGGGTGACCTGATAGATAGATAGATAGATAGATAGATAGATAGATAGATAGATAGATAGAGTGCACTGGATGAATTTTTGTCTGAATTTCGCAAAGATGAAAATAAATCTGACATCTCATTTTAACAGATATATTTACAGAAATTAAACATACATATCTTGAAATACTAACGGGTAAATTAAATCAATAAAATTACCATTGGCTTCAACCACGCCATCGACTTC